CAACAACAAGATTACATTTGTATAGCACCTTTCACGTCAGGAGGATATCCAAAGGCGCTGGACAGTGTACAGTATTTCAGATACAAGCTGGGGTCAGGGGGAGAGAAGGGAGGGGAGGGGAAGGGTGTGGCCAATGGCATGGTCGAAGAGGAGGGTCTTAAGGCGGGACATGAAGGAGGCTAAGGAGGGGGCGAGGCGGAGTGATTGGGGATGGAATTCCAGAGGTTGGGGGCAGAGTGGCTGAAGGCTCTCCCGCCAATGGTGGGGCGGGTGCGTCGGGGGACGTGGAGCAGGCCAGAGCCGGCTGAGCGGAGAGAGCGGGCGGGTTGGTAAGGGGTTAGGAGGTCGCAGAGGTAGGGTGGGGCGAGCGAGGCCATGGAGGGCTTTGTAGGTGAGGACCAGGATCTTGAACTGGATCCTCTGAAGGACAAGGAGCCAGTGGAGTCGGGCGAGAGTGGGGGAGATGGGGGTCACGGAGTTTGGTGCGGGAGAGGACATGGGCTGCAGAGTGAGTTCTGGATTATCTGCAGCCTGTGGAGGGAGGAGTTGGGAAGGCCGACAAGCAGGGAGTTTGCAAAGTCGAGCCTGGAGATGATGAAGGCATGAACAAGAGTTTCAGTGGCCTGAGGGGTGAGGTAGTGGCGGAGTTGGGCGATGTTACAGAGGTGAGGGAAGGCAGAGCGGGTCATGGCTTGGATGTGGGGAAGAAAAGATAGTTGAGGGTCAAACAAGACACCCAGGTTCCTGACTGACTTGGTGAGTTGAAGTGTGCAACCATGGAGATTGATGCTGCCAGAGCCTGAGGTACAGAGGCACTGGCGTGAGCCAATCAGGAGGGCCTCAGTCTTGTTCACATTAAACTGTAGGAAATTTCCCCTTCATCCAGGACTTGATACAGGGCAACACTCATTGGGTTTCTCTACGTTACCACATTTAATTGCAGAGGTTGAAAAGTAACAACTCAATTGATTTAAAAATTAGAACAGCAAAACTGAATGCAACATTGATTACTGCAGTAACTACACCAACAACAACAACTTGGATTTATATAGCACCCTCCACGCCAGACGGCGTCTCAGAGCGCTTCACAGTAACGGATCCTGGGGCCGAACCAGGGGGAGGGAGAGGAGCGACCAAAGGCGCGGTCAAAAAGAAAGGTCTTCAGCAGAGACCTGAAAATGGGAAGAGAGGGGGCGAGGCGAAGGGAGTGAGGAAGGGAGTTCCAGAGATTTGGGGCATAGTGGCTGAAGGCACGGCCACCGAGGGTGGAGCGGAGGACTCGGGGGACAAGGAGGAGGCCAGACCCGGTGGAACGAAGGCAACGGGCACTGTTTTGAGAGAAGAGGTTGGAGGTGTAGGGGGCTGCAGGAGAGTGGAGGGATTTGAAGACAAGGATGAGGATCTTGAAGTCGATCCTCTCTGGGACAGGCAGCCAGTGCAGTCTGGCAAGGACTGGGGTAATTGGGGAACGGCGTTTGGTGTGGGTGAGAATGCGGGCGGCAGAGTTTTGAATAATCTGGATTTTATGGATGGTAGTGGAGGGGAGGCCGGTGAGGAGGGTGTTAGAATAGTCCAGCCGAGAGGTGACAAAGGCATGAACTAGGCTTTTGGAGAGAGGTATTGGCGGAGACGTGCGATGCGTCGGAGGTGGAAGAAAACGGTGCTGGTGAGGGACTGGATGTGGGAGAGGAAGGATAATTGGGGGTTGAACCTGATGCCTAGGTTGCGTACGGGTTCGGAGAGTTTTAGGGGGAGGTCGGGTAGGTGGAAGAGGTGAGAACCGTGAGATTTTAGATGTTGATGAGAACCGAAGAGTATGACTTTTGTCTTGTCAACGTTCAGCTGAAGGAAATTTGCGCTCATCCAGCCCCTGAGATCTGACAGGCAGGCTGACAGAACATCAGGGGACTCGGGGTCGCAAAGAGAGGTGGTAGAGTTGGGTGTCGTCCGCATACGTGTGGAAATGTACCCCATGTCTGCGGATGACATCCCCAATAGGGAGCATGTAGATCAGAAAGAGGAGGGGGCCAAGGATGGATCCTTGGGGTACCCCACAGGTAACCGGGTGAGAGCGGAAGGAGAAGCCGTTTGTGCAGGTGTACTGCTGGTGGTTTGTAAGGTAGGACTCGAACCAGGCGAGTGCGGTGCCACTGAGGTGGACGACGGAGGAAAGGCGGTGGAGGAGGATGGGGTGATCGACTGTGTCGAACGCGGCGGAGAGGTCCAGGAGGAGGAGGAGGCAGAGGGAGCCCTGGTCACAGATAGAGAGGATGTCGTTTGTGACTTTCACAAGCGCAGTCTCTGCACTGTGGGCAGAAGGGGGAACCGGACTGGAGGGGTTCAAACCGCGGAGGGCATCACAAGCACTGTCTGCCCTCAACTGAGGTCCACACACTTCCTGTGGCTGGCAATCCGGAGCCAGGACTTCGCCTGTATTTTTGTAAAGATATTTCATATTGGTGAATATGAATCAATATTAGTTTAATCTATGTTGGTGTTATAACCACAATATATAAGAGGGAGTAAGGAGAGAGACGGGGACATCCAGGACCGTCTCACAACAAAGAGTCCGGTTGCCAGGGGCTCTGGCCACCTCGAATGAATACATGGAGCGATCGGAGAGCACTGTCCAGTAAGCCCCGCCCCCATCACCATCACCCCGGCAACAACCCGGCGTTTCCAGCCGTGTGAGAGCGAGGAGCTGAACGTCATGACGTCCGGGACGTGGGGACTATTTTGTGGGTGCGGAAGCAGCCGGCCGTGAGGCGTTGGTTTACTTGGTAACGGTTGTCAAGGGGCGCGAGGCTCAGAGAGTTACAGAGCGAGAGGGGCAGTGTGTTGGAGACATAAAAAGTGATAGACAGAGAGAGAGTGTGTGTGTTAGAGACAGAAAGAGTGATAAAGAGAGAGTGTTAGAGACAGAAAGAGTGATAGAGAGAGTGTGTTAGAGACAGAAAGAGTGATAGAGAGAGAGTGTTAGAGACAGAAAGAGTGATAGAGAGAGTGTTAGAGACAGAAAGAGTGACAGAGAGAGAGTGTGTGTTAGAGACAGAAAGAGTGATAGAGAGAGTGTTAGAGACAGAAAGAGTGATAGACACAGAGAGAGTGTTTTAGAGACAGAAAGAGTGATAGAGTGTGTTAGAGACAGAAAGAGTGATAGACAGAGAGAGAGTGTGTGTTAGAGACAGAAAGAGTGATAGACAGACAGAGAGAGTGTGTTAGAGACAGAAAGAGTGATAGAGAGTGTGTTAGAAACAGAAAGAGTGATAGACAGAGAGAGAGTGTGTTAGAGACAGAAAGAGTGATATAGTGTGTTAGAGACAGAAAGAGTGATAGACAGAGAGAGAGTGTGTTAGAGACAGAAAGAGTGATAGAGAGAGAGTGTGTGTTAGAGACAGAAAGAGTGATAGACAGACAGAGAGAGTGTGTTAGAGACAGAAAGAGTGATAGAGTGTGTTAGAGACAGAAAGAGTGATAGACAGAGAGAGAGTGTGTGTTAGAGACAGAAAGAGTGATAGAGAGAGTGTTAGAGACAGAAAGAGTGATAGACAGAGTGTTAGAGACAGAAAGAGTGATAGACAGAGTGTTAGAGACAGAAAGAGTGATAGACAGACAGAGAGAGTGTGTTAGAGACAGAAAGAGTGATAGACACAGAGAGAGTGTGTGTTAGAGACAGAAAGAGTGATAGAGTGTGTTAGAGACAGAAAGAGTGATAGACAGAGAGAGAGTGTGTTAGAAACAGAAAGAGTGATAGACAGAGAGAGAGTGTGTTAGAGACAGAAAGAGTGATAGAGTGTGTTAGAGACAGAAAGAGTGATAGACAGATTGTTAGAAACAGAAAGAGTGATAGACAGAGAGAGAGTGTGTTAGAGACAGAAAGAGTGATATAGTGTGTTAGAGACAGAAAGAGTGATAGACAGAGAGAGAGTGTGTTAGAGACAGAAAGAGTGATAGAGAGAGTGTGTGTTAGAGACAGAAAGAGTGATAGAGAGAGTGTTAGAGACAGAAAGAGTGATAGACAGACAGAGAGAGTGTGTTAGAGACAGAAAGAGTGATAGACGGAGAGAGAGTGTGTTAGAGACAGAAAGAGTGATAGAGAGAGTGTGTGTTAGAGACAGAAAGAGTGATAGAGAGAGTGTTAGAGACAGAAAGAGTGATAGACAGACAGAGAGAGTGTGTTAGAGACAGAAAGAGTGATAGACGGAGAGAGAGAGTGTGTTAGAGACAGAAAGAGTGATAGACAGAGTGTTAGAGACAGAAAGAGTGATAGACAGACAGAGAGAGTGTGTTAGAGACAGAAAGAGTGATAGAGAGTGTGTTAGAAACAGAAAGAGTGATAGGCAGAGAGAGAGAGTGTTAGAGACAGAAAGAGTGATAGACAGAGTGTTAGAGACAGAAAGAGTGATAGACAGAGAGTGTGTGTTAGAGACAGAAAGAGTGATAGACAGTGTTAGAGACAGAAAGAGTGATAGACAGAGTGTTAGAGACAGAAAGAGTGATAGAGAGAGAGTGTTAGAGACAGAAAGAGTGATAGAGACAGAAAGAGCGATAGACAGACAGAGAGTGTGTTAGAGACAGAAAGAGTGATAGAGAGTGTTAGAGACAGAAAGAGTGATAGAGAGGTGTCTTAGAGACAGAAAGAGTGATAGAGAGAGAGTGTTAGAGACAGAAAGAGTGATAGAGAGAGTGTGTTAGAGACAGAAAGAGTGATAGACAGAGGGAGTGTGTTAGAGACAGAAAGAGTGATAGAGAGAGTGTTAGAGACAAAGAGTGATAGACAGATAGAGAGAGAGTGTTAGAGACAGAAAGAGTGATATAGAGAGAGTGTTAGAGACAGAAAGAGTGATAGACAGAGAGAGAGTGTGTTAGAGACCAAGAGTGATAGAGAGAGTGTGTGTGTTAGAGGCAGAAAGAGTGATAGAGACAGTGTGTTAGAGACACAGGGAGAGTCACAGAGAGAGAGAGTGTTAGAGTCGCGGAGAAAGAGTGTGTTAGAGACAGAAAGAGAGTAAGTCACAGAGAGAGTGAGGGAGTTGCTGAGTGAGATAGAGCTACACCCAGTCACAGAAAGAGAGACAGACACACACACTGACACACTCCTACAAAAAGACATAGATGCACACACAGAAAGACACAGACAGACACTGATACCCAGATTGGGACTCTCAGACACATAGGGAGAAGCTGCTGTACTGATAGAGATATTCATATGCAAAGGCACAGATAGAGACACAAAGTCACAGAGACGGACAAAGATAAAGACGCAAATACAGATAGACAGCTACACAATCTCTCCAAGAGAGGCCGGAGCATGACGACTGTTTTGCCACCAAGCGATGACAACTGTGATGCCTACACCTTCTTGAGCCGCCCAAGAGCTCTCAACCAAAAGAGGAAATACAGGGCTGGTGTGCCACCACCTCAGTGAGTGTCTGTGGAGAGAGGCGGGGGATCCTGGGCGTAGAGGTGCATGGGAGCGTGAGGTATAGGTGAGAACTTCACAGGGAAAACTTTGATGGAACTGGGAGAGAGGGGCATGAGGTGTGGGGAAGAAGCTTCCTTCAGAGCAGACAGTGTTGGGTGAGGAAAAGACCAAAAACAATGGCAGGATTTATAAACCGATAGAAGGAACAAGTTAAGGGGTAGAGGGAGGGAGTTCCTGATGTTATGGATGTAGTTGCTGAAGACACAACTATGTAGCGCAGAAAGGGTGGAGGATGTGCAGCAGACCCGAGTTGGCAGAGCAGAGGGGGCAAACAGAAGGGTGAGATAGAAGATGATCAGAGAGATAGGGAGGTGTTAGAGAGTAGTAATAATAATATTCTTTATATTTGATATAGTGCCTTTCACATCAGCAGCATGTCTCAAAGTACTTCACAGGATATAATGGCCAATGTTATCCGGGTAATTGTTGGCCACCACACAGGGAGACACCATTTTCCTTGAGAATAGTGCCATGGGATCTGCTCCCGCACAGTCACGTATGATGTTCTTCAGGGCTTTATCCTCAATCCTATATGAACCCCTTCAAACCAGCTTCTGCGCTGCCCATAGCACCATGACTGTCCCTGGTCAAAGTCACAAATTACATTCTCTCCATTTGTCACCTCGGCTCTGTCTGCCTTCTTGATCTCTCTGTCGCTTTTCAACACTGTCAACCATTCTATTTTTCTCCACCGGCTTTCCTCTCAGCTCTATCTTCACAGTTCTGTCCTTGACTAATATCATTCTTATCTATCTCCACTTCATATCTGCCAACGGCTTCTCCTCCCGCCCACACCATCATGTGTGGCATTCCTCAGGCCTCTTTCCTTGGTCTTCTCTTTAATATCTACATGCTACTACTCAGCGATGTCATCTGCAGGCATAGGGTAAAGTTTACACATATGTCGATAACCCCCAACTCTTATCTTCCTGTTTCCACCTTTGATTCTAGGACCACTGCTGTTCTGAATGATTGAATGTCGGACATCGAGTCCTGGATGAGAGCTAACTTTCTCCAGTTGAATGTTGACATGACAGAGGCCCTCTTGCTCGGCTCATGTCAGCACCTCCTCATTTCAACTGTCCTTTAAAACCCCACATCCATGTCTTGACCTGTTCAGCTTTCCCCCATCTCTGCAACATTTCCCTGCCTCTGCCACTACTTCTCACTTTGGGCCACTGAGACCCTTATCCATGCATTTCTCATGTCCAGGCTTGACTACGCCAACTCTGCTTGCTGGATTTCCCAACTTTTCCCTTCACAAGCTGCAGCCATTCAGATTTCTGCAGCTCATGCCCACTCCCGCCTGGCTTCCCATCCCCCAGAGGATCAAGTTCAAGATCCTCGTCCTCACTTTTAAATCCCTCTATGTTCTACCTCTATGGACTTCTAAAACCTTAGCAACATACCCACTCCCTCTGCTTGACAGGCACTGGCCTGCTTCACAATCCCCTTCTTGCCCACCCCACCATGGGCAGTTGGGCCTTCAGCCTTGCTGCCTGCACTCACAGGAACTCCTTCAATGTCCGTCTTACGACTTTCCTCTGACAACAACAACAAGATAAGATTTGTATAGCGCCTTTCACGTCGGGAGGACGTCCCAAGGCACTGGACAGGGAACAGCATTTCAGACCTGAGCTGGGGTCAGGTGGGAGAAAGGAGGGGGGTGACCAATGGCATGGTCGAAGAGAAGGGTTTTGAGGCGGGACTTGAAGGAGGCTAAGGAGGGGACGAGGCGGAGCGATTGGGGGATGGAGTTCCAGAGGTTGGGTGCAGAGTGGCTGAAGGCTCTCCCGCCAATGGTGGGGCGGGTGGGTTGGGGGACGTGGAGCAGAGCCGGCCGAGCGGAGGGAGCAGGTGGGTTGGTAGGGGTTTAGGAGGCCGCAGAGGTAGGGTGGGGTGAGGCCATTGACGGCTTTGTAGGTGATTACCAGGATCTTGAACTGGATCCTCTGAGGGATAGGGAGCCAATGGGGTCGGGCGAGAGTGGGAGAGATGGAGTCACGGAGTTTGGTGCAGGAGAGGACATGGGCTGCAGAGTTTGGGATTATCTGCAGCGTGTGGAGGGAGGAGTTGGGAAGGCCGACAAGCAGGACGTTTGCATAGTCGAGCCTGGAGGTGATGAAGGCATGAACAAGAGTTTCAGAGGCCTGAGGGGTGAGGTAGTGGCGGAGTCGGGCAATGTTACGGAGGTGAGGGAAGGCAGAGCGGGACATGGCTTGGAATTGGGGAAGAAAAGACAGATGAGGGTCGAACAAGACACCGAGGTTCCTGACTGGCTTGGTGAGTTGAAGTGTGCAACCATGGAGGTTGATGCTGCCAGAGTCTGAGGTGCTGAGGCGCTGGCGCGAGCCAATCAGGAGGGCCTCAGTCTTGTTCACGTTCAACTGCAGAAAGTTTACCCTCATCCAGGACTTGATGTCCGACAGGCAGTCTGTCAGGACAGCAGTGGTCCTGGAGTTTAGGGTGGAGGCAGAAAGATAGAGTTTGGTCTTTGACTTTGGTCATCTTCGAGAGCCATTTTGACGAGGTGATAAGCCTCTATATCAAATGCAAGGATTATTATTACTATTATTTATTTTAAATCACAATCTGCTGATTCATATTATTATATTGCCTCACAGAGACATGGTACCATTTAGCCCTGTATTACATGTACCTCTAGTAACACAGAGGCTTATTGTATGTCTGAGACACAACGTCCCAGCGTAAAATCATAACAGCAGTCCAGATTGCACTGGTTAGAAAAAACATTTTAAGAAATATTAGCTGAAACAATGGTGGAGAAAAAAATCTTTCTTTTTAATAAACAAGCAGATGCTCTTAACTATTCAGGACAAGTAAGTGGATTCAGACTGATAAACTGTAACACAAATAAATTGAAAGTGAAACTTAAATATTATTATTGTGTGTTCATCACTCATTTCTTCGTATTTCAGTTGTGAACCACCATGTTTTGGAAATATAATGTATGATAAAAGGGTTGTACGAGGAACTACGTATGGTCAGCATATGCTTCCGCTGGTGAGTATGTACAGAGCATGACTCCACTTTAATTGAGCCACTGGAGTCATTGCAGTCAAGTTTAAGTGATAATGAGAACTGATTTTACTACATTGACAAATGTTGCCGCGTAAGATTATGAATTTTGTTTGTGCATAGAAATAGTGTATCAGGAGGAGGCCATTCAGCCCATTCAGCCTGTTCCATTAGTTTATTAGATCTTGGCAGATCCTTTATTACCAATGCTCTGCCCTTTTGCCATGTCTTCCGAACCCCCTGAAGAAATGCTTCTGACCTGTAGTATGGACATTTCCAGGTACAGGTTTTAACATACAGAGGAGAAAGTGTAGCTCAGAAATAGGCATTATAACTCATATTGATGCAATTCAACTATACAAATGTTCATGTATAACTTATCACACTGTCATTTTATTCATGTCATCGATTGTTATTAACTGCTATGTTGAAAATCTGTTATACTGCAATAAATGGCTGTCTTAATCATACAAAATAATTTAATTGTGATGATGAAACCATAAGAGCAAATCCAATGTTGTTTAACATCGTTAGGGTTGCTTATCAAGGGTGACAGTTGCCTTGTGGGGAACTGTGCAAAGGTTTCCTTCCATTCTTGTTCAGAATGTGCATAATCAGCACATGAGAATTGGTGTCAAAAGCACTTCCTATGTATAAAGCTTGTGTACAAAATATACAGACAATTCGCTTTACAGTATATTCTGTGAAGCGCTTTGAGACATCTCGAAGACGTGATAAGGCACTACATCAAATGCAAGGATTATTATTATTATCAATGGCAAACTGACAACCCCAAACTCAATCATTTCATCACGCTGCTTTAAATTAGGGTACTGAGATACTGGACCTAGTTGACTGCGCTATAATGAGACTGCTCTGTAACTTCTACCCCAACAATTTTAAGTTCACAGATATTGTTTATTGCTTTGATTTTGGAAAAAATGCAATTTCAAAATACCTCTGGTTTTGAATATTCCAGATAAGCAGATTGCTTGTTTACTATGCTGTAGTACCACTTTCTATCTTTTGGTGGTGCTGCAGAAAATATAAATTTATACAGCACATTTGAGTACTTAGTGCAGACTGGCTAATGTCTTTCCATTGAAACACATTGTCTTCTATTTTAGTAGTAAATATTTTGTTTGTGTACCGATTTTATCTGATTTTGTTTTTTTTCACATGAGTTTGCTAAACGTTTCACTCTGCAGCTTCTTACCCCATTGTTTTAGAAAGGTTTCTAGAAATTGTTACAAAACAAAGTAAAGATTAAACTACAGTATCTAGATTTTGTTCAAACTCATATTGAAGAAGGAGAGCTTGATATTCAACACTGGTTAAACCAGAATAAATCATGGTGTTCCCTATGGTTATTGGTTATATGACCATAGGCCCCGCACTGGGTTCCACGAGCCAGTCACCCCATGTTCGACAGCTCCATTGGCTCCCCAACCCCCAGCGGATTGCATTCAAGATCATTGTCCTCACTTTCAAATCTGTCTACCGTCTTGCCTCACCCTACCTCTAGATTGTGATCCTCTAAACCTTACCAACCAGCCCACTCCCTCTGCTCTACAGGCACTAGTTTGCTTCGACAACAGCTATAAATTGCATTTATGCAGCACCTTTCACAGTCCCCTTCCTCACTGACCCACCGTTGACGATGGGGCCTTCAACTTGCCACCATTTTTTGGAACTCCATCCCGGAGTCCCTCCACCTCACCCTCTCCCTCACCTCCTTCAAGGCCCATCTTGAGACCTTCCTCTATTACTACTTCTCTTCAGTTATCTTTCTCCTTGTCCCCAACCCTCACAAATCCAACCCCCAGCTAAGATTAAAAAAAACTTGACTGCCCAGTGAATTAGGACGACCTCTTGATTCGTAAGGCTCTGTATAAATACAATTTGTTGTTGTTATCAACTAAGGCTCCCTTCCATTCCTGAGTACTAACCAATGTCTCTGACCAGAAAGTAAGTGTGTATGTGGATGTTGAGTTAGGACAGATCAGGATTTGGGCTGTAAGATACCACATATTATTGGTTGCCAACAATTACTGTTTACACTCAATCAATCAGTACATGAAGAATTCCCAATCACATGGGTAAGGTACTAGAGAATAGCCAGTGTCTGTGGATCTATACCCTAGCAAAGAGTCAGGAGATTCAGAAGCGAAGGATGGGCAAAATTAGTCACAAAATAAAAAATGGTAAGTGTGAATAATTGAGAAACAACATGTAACAATCTTCTTTTTACATCTCATCAACCTATAGTCAGCAAATCCTGATCCCATTGAGATCCAAAGGCAGCAAGAGTCTCAGAGGAGGGCAATTGCCAGAAGACGAGCCAAAGCACAACTTCGACCAGCTACACCAGAACCAGTGATTGGGAGGCAACACTCAGAGATACAAACAGGTAAGGCAGGAAGAGAGCAAGATTGAAAACTACCAAAGTACAAGATTGAAACATTAAATGCAGAAGCTGGTGGGAAACTAGCATTGTGCTATGTTATTGAGTGTAGATGTATAGGAATCCTGCAATATTAGCTAAATATCATGTTTCTAATCTGACCCTTGCTGCCAAAGAATGAGGAGACAATGAAAACATATCTATTTGTGATTCACCACTTCCTGTCATCACACATCAGAATAAAGCATGTTCAGTGTTGAGTCTTTAATTAATGCAATCCAGGTCCTTAAGTGTATTGAATTCTTAGAATCATGTGTACTAACTACCAATATTAGATGGAAAACAAATAATATGTCTGTAAGTAAGAGTTGAGAAAATATGAAAAGAAAATGATCAAAATATAATTTGATTTTTAATTGTAACATTTTAAAAGTTACGCATTTAAAACACAGCACAGTAAAATACAATACAAAATTACATTTGTATAGCACCTTTCACATCGGGAGGACCTCCCATCTGATATTTGGCCAGTAATTTTTAAATCTACCTGCTCTGTATTTAACTTTTCTGCAGTATTGTGTATGAATATTTTTCAATTAAAAATAGACATTCCCTGTTCGGTATCTGACTGTATTTACTTTATTCCCTTAGTTTTTTTGCCTTTTGGCTATACATCACTTATAATAATTGTTTGCTTTGTGATGAGAATGCAAGATTTTTGCAAACCAAAAATGTTGATATTAAAGAGATATAGTTGAGTACTTTAATATTTTGAATAATGAATGCCCTGAAATGCTTTTGAAATATGCTAATTAATCTATGCCACAAGACTATCTAAAACGTATTTAATTCTACTTAGGTTTGTCAAAATGAGTAAATCTAACATCTATGGAGTCCTGTAGCTCAGTGGTTAGAGCACTCGCCTTGCAAGCGAGAGACCTGGGTTCGATTCCAGGCAGGGCGAAACCTTGGGCAAGTTTACTTACTCCACGCGCCTAATAATAATCCCTCAAGAAAAAAAATAATAATCATTTAGTCACTTCAATCCACGACTGTTTGTGGGACACTGCTGTGCGCAATTGGCTGCCGTGTTTCGCCCACAAATATACAATCAATTCACTTTACAGTATATTCTGTGAAGTGCTTTGAGACGTCTAGAAGACGTGAAAAGTGCTATATCAAATGCAAGGATTATTTTAATTATCTTGGTATATTACCTTTCACGATAAGAGGATATCCCAAAGCACTTCTCAGGATATACTATAAAGTGAATTGACTGTGTTTTCTTTTGGGGGTGAAATGCGCCAGCCAGTTTTGCACACAGCAATGCCCACAAATAGCCATGGATTGAGTGACCAATTTTATTTGGGTATTGTTGATCAAGACACCGGGAGAAACACCCTTCTTTTTTTGAATAGTGCCATGGGATCTTTAACATCCACCTGAACAGACAGATAGGCTTCAGTTTAACATCTCATACAAAGGAAGGCACCTTCGACAATGTAGTACACCCCCAGCACTTCATTGGAGTGTCACCTTAGATTTTATGAGATCCAAGTTTCGATATGAAGCTCAAACATGCAACCTATTGACTCAGAGACAGGATTGCTACCAACTGTGCTAGCCTGACACAACAACAACAACTTGCACATACGTAGCGCCCTCCATGCTGGGTAGCATCTCAGAGCGATTAACAGTGACAGAGCCTGACTCTGAGTCGGGCGGGTAGGGGGGTGGTGGCTGTAAGCACGGTCGAAGAGGAAGGTTTTTAGGCGGTACTTGAAAAAGGGGAGAGAGGGAGCAAGGCGGAGGGATTGAGGGAGAGTGTTCCAGAGTTTCAGGGCGTAGTGGCTGAAAGCACGACCTCCGATGGTGAGGCGGAGGTTACGAGGGACGAGCAGGAGGTCGGTGCCAGTCGAGCGTAGGCACCAGGTGGTAGATTGGGACGTGAGGAGGTCAGAGAGGTAGGGAGGTGCTATAGAGTGAAGGGATTTGAACACGAGTGTGAGGATCTTGAAGTTGATCCGTTCGGTGAGCGGATGGAGTGGAGCCTGGCCAGAACTGGTGAGATGTGGGTACGGAGTTTAGTCCGGGTCAGTATGTGAGACAAAGAGTTCTGAATGATCTGGATCTTTTGACACACATATAATGCCAAGTTTGCTTTATCAAAGACCTTGTAAAAATATTCCAAACTGTTATACTTTAGAATGCTGCAACCCAGAACAAGGCTTTTGCTAGATCCTCACTGCATCATTTTAGTTTCACAATGATTCTATTATTTATCTCCTTTTCTATTTGTCAGAGTTATATCTAGAGGAGCTCAGCGATCGAATAGAAGAAGTTGATATGCATACTCAAACAGATGCATTCCTGGATAAACCATCAACACCGCTCTTTATTCCTGCAAAGTCAGGAAAGGATATAGCTACTCAAATTCAAGAGGGAGAGGTATGTTTTATATATGCAAGGTAATCTTGATCAACATGAATAGAGGCAAAGTAACAAGCTGATCCTTGCAAAGTATATTCTGAATGTATGAAACAATTTCATCAGGTCAGGTACTAGAGATAACAGATACTTATAGTGAACCTGTGGAACCTTGTAATGAGCCTGTGGAACAGGCTTCCAAGGTTGAAGCAAGAAGTGTTGATTCTTTCAAACACAGATTAGATAGTTTTCTTTTAGGAAATAACATTATGGGATATAGTACATAGGTAGTTTGGTACATATGTGCATGCGACCGCCAGGAAAGTGGAAGGTGAACTAGATGGACCTTGGTCTTTTTTCATCTAGCAGTTCTTGTAACAATGACAGGGGGGGGGGGGTCATCAAGCAGGGGAGATGACCATAGACCATAAAAAAAGTACTTTTCATTTGCATACCTCATCTAATAAGTCCACATACTCTAGTCTGGCAGAATCTCCAGCCTGCTGTGAATCAACAGTGGTAACTAATTAGATGTCATAAGGTGTGTGTCTCTCCATATTGATGCAAAATTACTGCTTTTCCTTTACCTTCATTGAAATGTGAAACTCAAAAATTAAATCTCTTCTAATGCAGTTAAACCTGGCAAGATATACTATAATAATAATCCTCGTATTGGATATAGCATATTGAAAGGATATCTCAAAGAGTTTCACAGGATTTATTGTAAAATATACTGACTGTGTCTTTTGTAGAAGAACGTGGAAGTCCATTTACATGCAGCACTATGTGGAGTCCTTTAGCTCAGTGGTTAGAGCACTCGCTTTGCAAGTGAGAGACCTGAGTTCAATTCCAGGCAGAGGGCGAAACCTTGGGCAAGTTTCCTTACTCCACACAGAGCTTAATAATAATCCCTTCAAAAACCCAAAACAATAATAAATTGGTCATTTTCAATCTACGACTGTTTGTGGGACATTGCTGTGCGCAATTGGCTGCCGCGTTCGCCCACAAATATACAGTCAATTCACTTTACAGTGTGTTCTGTGAAGCGCCTTGGGACGTCCTCCCGACGTGAAAAGCGCTATATCAAATGTAAGGATTATTATGACACAAACAGCCAGGAATTAAAATAACTATGTCCAATATGCCAATAAAAAAGGTTATGGTTAGGCAAAAAATATTAACGCTTCTATGAATCAAAAGCATTGTGCATTGGTTATTGAAATGTTACCTCAGTGATTCAGTCCCCTTTGTTCCTGCCTTTTAGCTTTTTGACTTTGACGTTGAAGTGAGTCCAATGTTAGAGGTACTCGTGGGAAAGACTATTGAACAAGCTCTGCTGGAAGTAATGGAAGAAGAAGAGCTGACTAACTTACGTGCTCTGCAGCGTGACTTTGAGGAGCTTCGAAATGCAGAGCTTGCAGAGGTACAACGTATGGAGGAGAAGGAGAGACGGCATAGAGAAGAAAAGGTAAACTTTATTCAGGCATGAGATATTTTTCCACAATAATGCATACTTTTACACCGGAATAAAAAGGCTGAGTGAACAACAGTGAAGTTTTTAAGATTTAAGATTTTTAATGTTTTTCCAATCCTTCCCAAAGACAGGCACATGTAGAGATGCCAGAGAAAAAGAACTAACTAGCTTCCCAGTTATTTCTGTGTTCAAATTTGTGTCAGCGCACAACTAACATTTCTCTTGTTGTGATATCAACACTGTTTAATTCTGATTTCAACAGGTAATACTTGTGTGATATTTTTCAGAAACGTCGCATTGAACAACAGCAAGCCGTGCTAATGAAGGAGAAGGAGAGTGCAGAAAAGATTGCAGCCCGTGCATTTGCTCAACAGTATTTAGCTGATCTGGTTCCTGCAGTCTTCACTACACTTCGGGATAATGGCTTCTTCTATGATCATGTGGAACGAGGTTTGCATTAAATTAATTTTGAGTAATAAGGAAGACTACTAAAAGAGAGCAATCTGATATCCATTAATTCATGGTCTCGCCTTTCCTTGCTAAATACTCAGCATACCTTGGCCTATTATATCAATATGATTTGGCCAATTCACAGAATTAGGCATTTGTTTGCTTTGCTCGAGCATATACTCAAGGTGATGATTTTTTTAAAATGGAGATTTATTAAATGCCTATTAGAATGCATTTTACTCCTTGTTGAAACATTTTCACTTAACATTCATTTGCCGTGCTATCCTTTTCACAAAGATCATCAAATATTTCTGGCTTTTAAAACCTATCCCATTCTGTGAAATAGTCAAACACATACTACATCAAAGCAAAATAAGACATACAGGAGTAAAAAAAAATTTTTTCTCCCATCAGACGTAGAGAAAGAATTCCTTCCTTGGCTGATGAAACAGGTGCAGCATAGCATGGGTCAAGAAATTCTGGGAAGAACGATATTGGACAGTAAGTAACTGACTGATTCACTCACTCAAAAATGTTGTGATTTGTTCTGTCAACCCCGATTACATTACATTAGCAGCAACCAAACGACGTAGAAGTTGGCCATTTTTTCACGGTTCATTAGAATGCTCCCTCTGGGATACTGGGCACAGATTATAAGGTTGCACTATATAAAAGCAAGCTGACATGGATTCAACCAATATAGCTAACATATTTGACAAAAAATTACATTAAACATGTATACCTAAAATAAATTTAAAGGAAATTTAATTGATCTAATTAACTTTTTCATTATATTGAAATATTTGCTTCGTTTTACAGTAACCAAACTTAATTTAAGAATATATATACTATATTTTTATATTCTTGTATATACGTTTTACAAGGATGATACCGGAACTGCAAGGTTATACCTATCAGGAAAGGTTGAACAAGCTTGGACTCTTTTCTCTTGAAAAGAGAAGGGTGAGGGGTGATGTCTTTAAAATTATGAAAGGTTTTGATATGGTAGACATGGAGAATATGTTTCCATTTGTGGGGGAGACCAAAACCAGGGGCCATAAATATAAAAATTGTCACCAATACATCAAACAGAGAAGTCAAAAGAAACTGCTTTACCAAGAGAGTTATGGGAATGTGGAACTTGCTACCACAAAGAGTAATTGAGGCGAATAGCATAGATGCATTTAAGGGGAAGCTAGATAGGTACATGAAGGAAAAAGGAATAGAAGGTTATGCTGTTAGGCTTAGTTGAGGAAGGGGAGGAGGCTCATGTGGAGCATAAATGCTGGCATAGACCAATTGGGCTGAATGGTCTGTTTTTATGCTATATATTCTATATTAAATCAATTTCATTGAAAAAAGGAAGCAGGTGCCATCATTTGCTCTTAAAGCAAGTTCGCAGGACTATGGGGAGAGAGCGAGGGAGTGGGATTGATTTGGATAGCTCTTTTCAAAGAGCCGGCACAGACACGATGGACCGAATGGCCTCCTTCTGTGCTGTATAATTCTGATTTGATGATTTCAGTTGTATCCCTATAAATGTGTTTTCTGTATCATTTCTTTAAAAAAAACAAGTATCTTTATTTGTGTTGTTCTCCCTTCCCCCAACCTTCATTTGCAGTGGTAATTCGTGAAATAATGAAGACTAGAAAAGTGAATTTCAAGCCGGTGCAAGTTGATCAACCAGTTCAAGCCTGAGGAAGAAGTGTACTTTGGGTAAAGAATAAATCCCAGAAATCAACAACATGATGCTCCTTAACCAGTTTTTGTTTTAAATAAACTATCGAACTTGTGAAGAAAATGGTAATGTGACATGTAAATCTATTGTATAAGTTAGTATTTTGTTCACCTACTTGTGTTTATTCTATGCAACCTGGCAAGAATTTTAATTTTCAGATATCAACATCAGGTTTCTTGCTTTGGAGATTACTTTAGTGAAATTATAAAAAGACCGGTATCAGGATTTTTTTCTCTTTTTCAAAGTACTGCATGCTAAAATGTCATAGGAAGCAAAATATTTGTTTTGAAATGCTTTATAAAAGTACAAGCGTATGAAAAAAATATGCCACATGTGTTGTGAGGTTTTACAAACTTTCTGCTGTGTATTGCCTCTAGATGTCACTTTTGTTTAATTTCATGAAACCTATTTACATTAGGTAGTATGCCAGCTGAGAAAATCATGTATTTTAATTTCTCTTCCCTCTTTGACATATATGAGGGAGATTATAAGATTACACCAGTGGCCATTTAGTGATCTTAATGCTTTTCATAACCTTAAACACCTTCAAAGGATTTTAATTGAACTGGAACTGGCCTCCTGTCTTTAGCCACTTGGATTTTATTGAAAATTGGTACAGTTGGATCACATCTGTAAACCTTATGTGGTGGGATCCCAACTTGTGTCTAGCAACTTATTGGATTTTTGCCAAATACGATAAAACATTTTTTCTAGTCAGACGCATGTGCCCTTTTGATGTTGTTTGACCTTGCTGGAAACTACATATGTATTTATGTTGCTCATATGCATGGAATTGTAGAAATGACTACTTACCAGATACTCAATTAATTTAAAAGTTATCATGACTAAACTTTTCTGTTTGTGTGTGGTCACTTACAAAGTAGTGTCATGCCAACAGTTCCCAGCTTTGCACACTTAAAATATTTGCCCAAGTGGTTTTGCCTAAGTATCTTAAGTGCATTTCCACTACCAAGATTTTTTTAAAACAAGTCATTTTTGTTTACAGTGAATTTGAATCCTAATAATCATGTTTAGTGCTTTTTGAATCTTATTTAAAACAATTTAGTGGGTTCACTTTTTAATTTCTTCACACTAGGATAACGCCTCTCTGCGTCTGGTCTGGCCTCTTCTTGCTGGTGTGTGGTTCCACAAGTGCTGGTTGCCCTCCCTACCTGTGTGAGTTTTGATCATGACTGTCAGCACTTGATTGGAGAGTGCATCACAGCCAGGCCTGACGTCTCCCTACCTCCCTGCCTTAGAGGAACTAGGAGCACTCACTCTCTGGGAAGGCCAGAGCCAAGTTAGCTTTCCCCATGCAACCATGGCGGAAACTAGCAAACGCAGCACAAACACAGGATTAAACCAGCAAGCTCTTGGTATCTATTCCAGTGGTGGCCATTGGCCAACAAAATAAATTTTCTTGATTGAATATTTCTTGATTTATGCCACAAATCAAGAAATATTAAATCAAGAAAAAACGGAAAACACTAGCAATAAAACATGGACTGACTTAGACTGTGTCAATGTTTGGTGGGGAGGGTGGCACTTCTTGACGTCCCCTCGGGCCACTTCCAGCCTGGCGCAGGTCACCCACCACTGCCCTATCCCATGGGGTCTGTCTCTGAATTATTGCTGTAATCTTGTATCAACAACTTTATTATTGAGAGTTGCTACATTTCAAGGTTTGCATTTATATAGCATCCCTTGTGTTGGATAATATCTTGAAGCACAGTATGTTGGTTGGTTTAGATGCCAAGAAGGGGAAGGGGAACTGACCATAGGCACACTCAAAGAGATGTTTTCAGGTAGGATTTGCATAAAGAAAGAGGGAGCAAGGTAGAGGCATTCAGACAGGGAGTTTTAATTTCTTCATACCGTGGACTACATTCAGTTTAGTAATAATAATAATACTCACATTTGATATAGCGCTTTCATGTCAGGAGGATGTTCCAAATCACTTCACAGGATTTACCATGAAATGGAGTTACTATTTTGTAGGCAAATGCAGCAGCCCAAATGCACCACAGCACAGTTTGTAGAAAATACACATGCCTAGTAAAGAACTTCCTTGTAGTTGAAAAATTAATACTTCGTGTGAGATTAAGTACTTAGATCTCGGTGTGATTTTTAATATCTATTTTAACAAGCGTAAAAGATATTTTGATACTTCCTGTTTGGTTTTTGAGCTGCTCTCTCAATTTCTTCCAAGGAACGTGTGCATCATCTTTAAGATAGACTAAACAGGAGTTAATTAAAGTATGGCTTATCTCTGCATTTCACTCTTATTCATTACCTGAACAAAAATTGTCTCTCCATGTTGTACAGCAGTTAAGCTATTCAGTGCAGTAATGCTGTTCATAAAGCATTATGCAACCAATTTATGGCAGTGTTTTCTATTGTTAGAGCCACAGTATTCATTTCTGTGGTTATATTATCTGACATAACTTCCATATTTCACATACTTGAGTTGCAGTATTCTGCCAAACCAGACAGACATTAACCAACTGGGATAAATATTATACAGTTTATTAAACTCCAATAACACTTTTTATTAATGGATTTAGGGATAAATTAGGTGATAGGAGCAGTAGAAAAGTCTACATTAGAATTGGATGACACAACATTAATGCACAGATTCTACTTAATAATAATCCTTTCATTTGATATAGCCCTATTCACGTCTTCTATACGTCTCAAAGCACTTCACAGAATATACTGTAAAGTGAATTGATTGTATATTTGTGGGCGAAACACGGCAGCCAATTGCGCACAGCAGTGTCCCACAAACAGCTGCGGATGAGTGACCAAATTAGTATTGTTTTATTTTCTTGAGGGATTATTATCAGGCCTGTGGTGTAAGGAAACTTGCCCAAGGTTTCGCTCTGCCGGGAATCGAACCCAGTTCCCTCGCTTGCGAGGTGAGTGCTCTAACCACTGAGCTACAGGACTCCACTTAATAATAAGTAGAACTTCTAAGTAGAACAGGATGATTTAGGGTTTAAAATGTTATAGCATAGATATGTTCATGTGAGTATTCAAATAATGTATTTTCTCCAATTGAAAAGGTTCCTCCAACCTACTTACAAATCATAGTGAAAATCTGAGTTCATAGCCAGATTTGATATTGTATTTGCAGTGCAATATATTTTTTTTGCTTTTATCAGTTAACTTTTTTTTTCATTGTCTTCAAATTACTGTGACACCAGTTGTTATATGTTGGATGATCAATGTCATACCTTAAACCAAACAATCTAAGATGACATTTCTTGCAGAGCCAGGGGAGTGCTGCAATGTCCGAGGTGCTGTCCTTTGGATGAGGTGTTAAAATGAGATCCTGTTTCTCTGCTCAGGTGAATGTTAAAGAACCTAAGATGCTATACGAAGAGAGGGGGCCTTCTCCGTGTCCAACAATCCTCCAAAATAAGTTAATCATTCACCTCATGGCTGTTTGTGGGACATTGCTATGTGCAATTTGGCTGCTGTGTTTAGTAACAGTCAATAACAACAACTTGCGTTTATACAGTGCCCCTCACGTAGGGTAGCATCACAGAGCCTTGACAGTGGGGGAGCATGACATCGAGCCGGGGGGAAGTGACCGTAGGCAAAGTCGAATAGGAAGGTCTTCAGGCATGACCTGAAGATGGGGAAGGAAGGGGCAAGGCGCAGGGATAGACGAAGAATGTTGAAGAGTTTCAGGGCGTAGTGCCTGAAAGCATGGCCACCAATGGTGGAGTGGAGGAAAGAGGGACATGCAAGCGGGAGGTGACGAATGCATGGATGAGTGTTTTGGCTGCGTCTGGGGTAAGCTATGGTCAGAGGCAGGCAATGTAGCGGAGGTGGAGAAAGGCGGTCCTAGTCAAGGACCTGATGCCTAGTTTGCACATTGGTTCGGTAAATCTGAGGAATAGGCTGATAAGATTAAGCAGGTCAGAACTGCAGGATAGAAAACGTTGACAGGAGCCAATGAGTATGGCTTCTGTCTTGTCAACATTTAGTTGAAGGAAATCCCAACACTTAACAGTATTGTGAAGTAGTTTGAGATGTTTTGAGAATCTAAGTGCAAGTAAATATTGGTAGTACAGTTGTATGCATTGGATTATAGGAGCTTTTATCTTTACCCCTACAATATGTTTCATCATTTACTATTGATGCATTTTGCCTCTATGAATGTTCCTGGTTTTGTGTTCACTTATATAGTTTTGCAATACAGTTGTTCTGGCCTTGTAGCTAAAAAAAAATGCAAAATGGAAGCTGAGCTCTTTGGCACTTCAATTGATCTGGCAGATGTACCTTCCCTGGAGGCAGATATGGTTCTAGACTACCCACAAAGAGATTATTTGTACCTGAGCTGAGAACTGAGAAACTGCTTAAGTCTTCTCTTTGACCGAGCCTTCAGCTCCCCTCTCGACTCTCTTCCCCCTTCTCGCTCCCTCTCTTCCCTCCCCTCACCATTTACCTCCTGCTCGGGTCATGACCCAACTGTGCAGCGCCTTGGGTCATTCAGAACTCTGCAGCTCGTGTACTGTCCCACACCAGGCTTCGCGACCACATCACTCCCACCCTCGCTCGCCTCCACTGGCTCCCCATCCCCCAGAGGATCGAATTCAAGATCCTCATCCTCACCTACAAGGCCATTCACGGCCTCGCTCCCTCCTACCTCTCCGACCTACTATCCCCCTACCTACCTGCCCGTACCCTCCGTTCCTCTGGCTCCGGTCTGCTCCACATCCCCCGCCCAATCGCCCTACCATCGGTGGCCGGGCCTTCAGCCTCTCAGCCCCGAGGCTCTGGAACTCTATCCCCCAGTGCCTTCGCTTTACTTCCTCCCTTTCCTCCTTCAAGGCCGGTCTCAAGACCTTTCTCTTTGACCGTGCCTTCAGCTCCCCTCTCGACTCTCTACCCCCTCCTCGCTCCCGCCCTTCCCTCCCCTCACCCTGACCATTTCCCCCCTGCTCAGGTCCTGACCCAACTGTACAGCGCCTTGGGACGTCCTCCCGACGTGAAAGGCGCTCAATAAATGGAATATTGTTGTTGTTGTTGTTCAGGAACTGGACTACCAAGACTGGCTGGATTCTGATATTTGATTACCAGGCATGTCACCTTGGAGCTAACTCAGCTCCAAGGAGACCCTGTTTTCCTCCACACCCCCTCCCCCCCAGGAGGATACTCACTAGTTGGTCATTTGATATGCGACAAGCATGTATTTCAACCCTGACTCAAATAGTAATTACCAGGAACTTCTGCAAGCTTCCCGGTGGGCAACTCAGTTCACATTGAAGAGTGTGAGAGCATTGCCACTGTCTTCCTGTCCGCAGCTCAGGCACACATCCCATCAAACGATGGTTCCACCAGTTGGAGGTGCAGAGTTTAAGAAGCAATTGCTTACCTCTCTGTAAGTCAATCAAGGTTGATTTCAGCTAACGTTTTTTAACAGTTGTCGACCCAAGGCTCAGAGTTTCCTCATCAGCTATCTGGCGGGCATCTGCCTTCTGTGTGGTGGGAAGACCTTTACAGGACAGCTTGTGATGTGCCAGCCACCTTGATGTTCTCAATCACCTCTTTCTATATGCTGTAAATTTTTATGATTCTAATCTATATCTATGCACATACTCTTTACAGCAGGAATCACTGGATAGTGATCAGGAGCAGGAACTTTGGCTATTTTTAATTAACTCTCCATAGCTCAAGGGACCAATTGTAGTTCCCTTACAGTTATCCCCAAATTAAATCAGATAATTCAGCATCAACCAGGGATTAAATATGGGATCATATCAATCTCAGTTACGCATTGGACAGTGGGTTTAAAAAATGAGCTATCATAAAACCTGGTTTAGATTCCCCCTTAATCCA